GTTGTCATTCAAATATTCGAAACTTACGCAATTACACTCGTAATCAATTACCAAATATCTTTTCCATAATTTCTCCCAAATCACTATGCAAGTTTCATCTTCTCGCGGCGGTTGCACGACGACGTGCCGAACTCCGGACTCTTGTTTACCACCCGACCGTCGAAGATTTATTCGTTGCACTCATCGAGGAGACCTTCTCCGATGGGTGACCTGTTTAACGAGGCAGTGATTATGGTAACGAGGAGAATGTCGGGGCTCACCTAGGTTAGTTTTTTAATTTTTATTTTTATTTTTATTTTTTTGTTTCTATTACCTTTTTTTATGTTTTTAGTTCTAGTGAAAACGTAGGATTGTTGTTTCTTGATTAGCTGATGCTAAATTTTGAGTCTGAGCTTGAATCAAGTTTTTGTATTGATTTGTTATAAGCTTGGGTTGTAAAAAGTTGAAGATTTGAGTTTATTGTGTGTTGTTGGTTTGATTTTGGTTGAATTAAGATGCAAAATTTTTAATTCTTGATGTTTCAGTAGAGTTCGATCATCTTGTTGTTGAGAAAAAAATGTTTATTTTCAGGAATATATGGCCTCGAGTGATATAGCAGCATTAAAATGTCTAAAAACGGCACGAGAAGCTTCAGAAGACGATGGTTATTACAGAAGATTCGCCGAACATTCTGCAGATGCTATGTTGAAAACAGTGAAATAAACGGAAGATAAACTAGAAATAAACAACTCCAGGACAGTTGGAGTAGTGGTCGATGGATGCATGAATACTAATATTGTGGTCGGTGAAACGTTCAGAGATAAAAGTGTTCACGTGTCTTAATACTTCAATTAAAGCGTGGACACCGATTTGATGTTTGGTCTCAGAAGGCAAACCTTTGTCAAATAAAATCAATATATTCGTCAATGGCTTGTGTGTGATAATATTTGTTTATCTATCGTTTATATTCAGTATAACTTATTATGTTTATGTGTTATCTGATTTTTTTTTTTGTTTATTTAATGTTTATTTTCTGTATATAAAAATGACAGGGATAAGTAAACAAGTACAAGTAATATATTTCAGTTTACAAAAGCATATATCATGTTTCAAGATATACGTAATATATACGCAATATATGATGTTGTTTATATGTTAGCAAACATAACTTTTAGGATATAATTTGTTAAACGTACACTTTAACATATGCACACATATATTTTACCATACAATTACGTTAACACCACATTTACTTTATTTAAATAGAAGAGTACCATCCAATGGATTAGAGTACTCTCTGTTTAACTAACGTTATGTTTAATCAATATTCAAAATTGTTTATATATTGTTTATCTTATGTATAAATATACGGTTAATAATAGAGAATTGTCAGATCATGTTTATCTAATGTATATATACAGTATATCTAAACATATAGTTGGTGGCTAAACGATTTTTTTTTTTTCGAATTTAAAATATCAGTTAAACCGAATTTTGCTCTACCGATTTTTTTGCTATTCCCAATAGGGATCACAACTTTTTTTTTTTTTTTATGAACAACTGGATGGACGATCGTTTTTTCCATAACACAAATCACACATAAGTATAATAAGTTATACTCAACATAAACGATAGATAAACAAAACATTATCACACATAAAGACATTGACGAAGATATCGGTTTTGTTTGCCAAGGGCTTGTTAGTGTCATTAACAATGTCTTTTCAGGACTGTTGGTAATGGTTAACGTTGTAGGAATGGTGCTCTTAAGAATGTTAATGTGTATATATATAAATATATTCATCCTAATTCAAATGTTTTTTCTTGATTTATTTTCTGTGATTATACAACATTTATTCATACTGCAACTTCTCCAAAATTAGACCAAGTGATTCATCCTAATTCTAACAATTATTTTTTCGCGATTATTTTCCGTGATTATAAAACACTTATTCACGTGAATTTTGAGACGGCTCGTCGGAGAAAGGTCCGGGGTTCTGGGAAACCCGTCACCTTTGGACGACTGCTCGGAAAGACGTCCTTTTGATGCTGAAGGTTTGTGGGCGATAGTTTGGTTCAAGCAACAAGGTTTTTTATTTTTTATTTTTTTTCCGGGCGATTGTTTTTTTTTTTAATTGAGATATGAAGTTTTTTTGGAGAGAGAGATGGACATTGAGATGGAGATTTGGAGATTTTGAGAGAGAGATGGAGATTTGGAGTTTTTCTCGAGATTTGGTGAGAGAGATGGAGATTTTCAGCTTTTGTTTAGGTGGTTGAGTTTAAAAATGGAGAGTAAATCCCATTTCCCGAAAATCAAGATGAGTGCAAAGGAATTAAGTGTGTAGTTAATTGCATTTAATGGTTAATTAGGCCAACTTAACCGCACTAAATCCCATTTTAGTTATTGACAATAGTAATTATGATTAAAAGTTTTTTAGATCGTATTTTTGTTATTATTTTCTGTTTGGAATGTAAAGTGTGTAAATTTCTCTTAAAAAGTTAGGACCTAATAACCAAGGTCGGAGGATAAGGAGCCCCAGAGCAGAAAACACGCAAAGTCATAAAAAGCTAGCTTATCAGCTATTAGATAGTTTATTAACCAATTTTACCAATAATGGCCTTATAAGATATATGTTAGTTTGTCAGCTAATTTTACTAAACATAACCTAATAGAATGATTTGTAAACAAACATCTCTTAATAGTTTAGGCTTACTTATTAAACTTAAAATTTTTTCTTTAGAGCATCTTCAATAAGACGTGGATTGTTCTATTTTATTGTTACATGACACAAAGTATAATTTTACACATATCAATTATACTATCGTTAAACTATGAGAGACAAAAAAAAAAACAATGTAGATGTTCGTAAAATATAATAATTAGCATTAAGTGTTTTATTAATAGAAAAACTCCAGAGAACAGTAGATTAAAAAATTGTCTCGATTTATCTTTAAGGCTCGAACGAAAACCAAAAATCCTATAAGACCACCTCCAACGCCGCGCCAGAGTTGGCTTTCAGCGCTGGAGTAGCGACAATTTCTCTTCCAATGTTGCGCGAGAATCGTGCGCTAAAAGAGAGATGTGAATAGTGTTGCCATATGTGACGCAACACTGTAGCAATACGCTACAATTTTTTTTATTGATGTATTATAATTTTTGTTTGCAATTTTTCATTATTAAAATGATAGCATATGAATAAAAATCATAAAAACGTACTAGGTTATTTGAAATAAAAATAAATAAAATATTTTTTGTTAATTGAGTAATAAATATTTATATAAGAATAAATATACATATATATACTAATTATTTGAAATAAAATAAATAAAAAAATAATATATTTGATATAGAGTAAAATGTAGAGATGATGTTTTAGGGCGTGATTGTTTATAAATTTTACAGTAAATATCTCACTCAAAACTCAAATTTAACTCACCTTTGACTCAACTCCACTATTTCCAATATTATCAATATAGTTAAATAATATCAACCAATCATTATTACACATCACATAAACTTTAATTTAATATTTATCCACTCACATCGTTTTAACTAACTATCACTTCTAATCATTTTATCCTACTTTTACATTAAATTAACTTTAATTATTTTAATTTAAATATTATTTTAATATATCCACTAACAACTAATCATATTATTTTTTTCAAACTTAACTATAGTTTAAAAAAACTAGCTTTTTACTAGATGAATTCATATCCAACTCGCAATGTTTCACTCTCCTCTCTAAAATAGAGTAAAGTCATGTAATGTTGAAGATGCTTAAAAACGAGCCATTGGATCCATTTCTGGTTTATCTCTCCGGCGTATAAGCTCGCCGCTCGGTAGCGTGAACCACGTGCATTTCCAAACGCTCAAGGCCCGAAATCCTCCATTGGCCCCACCTGAACAACCGGCGCGCGCCGCTGCTGGAAGATGAGCTCGAAGTCGGCGCCGCGGCACCGGCGCCGAGTGCCTATCCCGATCTACCTCGTCCTAATAGCAACATTCACCGTCGTCGGCCTATTGATGGTGGATTTCAGGTCCATCGATTCATCCTCCCAACTCCCAATCAGGAACAAAACCTCGGCAATCACCGGAGAGGGAGATACTTCAGCTAATGCGACGATGAGCGAGGCCATGGATGCTAATGCTCGAAAGACCTGCGCTACTGTTGAAGAGATGGGTGAGATCTTCAGCAGAGGTTATGCGGAGGAAAGCCTGAGAGTGAGACGAATCATTCACGATCACTTCGCCTTAAATGGTAATCGGTGTTACCTTTTATCCCTTTCTTGAAGTGATATCTCCCGAGTAATTAATGCCTTTCTTATTAGGTATTTGATGCTTAAAATTGCTCTAGATTTGATTGAGGAATTCTACCTTCATAGAGAATCTGTTTCCGCTAATCTTAGCAGACGTGTGTTTGTTGTAGAAAACTATAATAATGAGCGTGGTTGCTATTAAGCTCCTTAGATATCGACTGTAACAAATCTATGCATGAAATCTAAGATTGAAGTCGTTGTGGCTCCATGTCTACGGGCATTGTTTATGGCTTAACAAGCCGAGCTGTATTTTATAGGTGATATTCTACTTTTAGTTTGCTGACCAAGTTTTCAACTACTTATTATGTACCTTCAAACACACTATGATGGTGAGTGGTGATTGTTTTTCTTAATTATCTCTCACTTGCCTCTGGACATTATATAGTTCAATTTTTTTCGGGCTAGTTAGTCGAACGTGGTGTGTTCTATATATAACTGTAAGATTGCATAATTTGATATTTCACAGATTGACAGCTCCATTTTGGAAAATTAGTTCATCGTCGTCTCCTAGAAGGAGGATGATAACATGTTACAGGAACCTTCTCATCCTTTCCACAATCTTATAGACAACATTTCGTGCAATGAATGATTAATTTTGTGAATTACCAGATTCGAAATAGGGACTTATATTGTGCTCAAATGAAGAGTAAAAGTAACAGTTGGATTTTGATTTTCATGGAATTGATCTTATTTTTAGGTGCATCGAGAGTGAGGGAACTCCTTCCAGAGGAATTCTGCAATCATGGTTTCGTGATTGGAAAAGCATCAGAAGCTGGTCTGGGTAATGAACTGTACAAGATCATAACTGCTGCAGCCTTGAGCGTCATGCTAAACCGATCATTGATAATTGGCCAAACCAGGCATATTGGTTCTCTCTCAAGCCTTTCTGTTTTGCATTAACTTTGGAATTTGTGCCTCTAAATTATTGCTTCACAAACAAACAAATTACAAGCCCGCCACCTGCTATGCCCCCATGTCCCCAATTTCTTAGAAGGATAAGGAAAAGAGTAAAAAAAATTCACCATCACAATCTTAACGCATTGGTTGCTTGGTTTGTCTATTTCCATTCCTGGTTTTCTATAAGTATCTGAATTAGGAAGCTAATTGTTATGCATTGCTTTAGGAAATCAATAAAGGGGTGTTGCAGTAGACCTAATCAAGTGGTAAAATGTAATAGATATGTGGAGAAGAGCCTTTTTTCGCCTTCTAAGTATTTGTGGGATTTCCATTAAGTTTCTTGTGTATTTTATCACTTGCAGAGGTAGATTCCCGTTTGGTGATTACATCTCGTATTCCAACGACACGTTTACGTTGAAAGAAGTGAAGCACTTGTGGAGACAGAATCGTTGTCTGACAAAATACGGAAGGCATCTAATAATGAGACTCGATGATTTTCAGAAGCCAGCGAAGACAAGTGTTCTCTGCAGTAACTGGAAAGAATGGGAACAACCAATAATATGGTAATGTAAAAAGATAATCTAAGGCTGGATACCCACAACTTGTTACAGAATCGTTAAATCACCTTCTGTCAGGTTCCAGAATACCACTGATGCTGTGGCTGCTCAGTTTTTCTTAAAGAATGTACATATGGAAATGAGAGAAGCCGCTTTTGATCTTTTTGGGAGCCCGGAGAAGCTTCAGTACAGGGCTAATGTGTTTGGTGAACTCATGAGGATTTTAATGTACCCTTCCAAAGATGTTGAACAAGCTGTAAACTGGGCTCTTGATGCAGGGAGAGACCCTGATATTGCCCTGCATATGCGAATGATGATGAATCGGTAAGAAAAGCTCACTCTTGAAATCTCAGCAACTGGGTTAATTGAACAAATAAAAACATGGGTTTATGCTAACAGTGATACCAATATTACCGCATACTAGCTTCTATTGTTATAATATCTATGAAAGGTTAAATTTGGTCCAAAATTATGAAGCCTTTGTGAATTTAATTGTCAGCTATTGGTTGGGTCAACAATCAGTGTGAGAAGAGAATTATTTCTTTTTTTGCATATCATAATCTCACAGGAGATTTTATTTATTTATTGCAGATCTGTAAGAGCAAAGCAAGCAGCCATGGATTGCCTAAGAAAAGCAATACATAATAATCTCCCGTCATTATCAAAACCTAGAGTTGTTCTGGTGTCTGATACCCCTTCTGTTGTGAAAGATATTGAACCAAGTTTGGAGGAATTTGCAGAGGTAATAGTTCCATATCTCTTACCTTAGCTGTTGATTATGTAGTTACCAATTCTCCTTGAAGCTCTTATTGTTCATATAATTAAGCTCATAAGAACACTTCTCTCCTCACATGTTAGGAGAGGAGACATTGTACAATCGATAGTGTACTGGCCTTGTATAATATAAAGACTTTATTCTTTTATTTTTCAGCAAAACACGCTACTGATAAGTCCATTTGATTTTTCAGGTTATTCACTTTGATTATGAAAGCTTTGATGGAAATGTATCTGGCAATAATAACAGATCTACAGCCTTAAACTTTAGAGTCAAGGACTGGGGACCAGCACCCAGATGGGTAGCTTTTGTTGATTTTTTCCTAGCATCCCGTGCCAAGCATGTTGTTATTTCCGGTGCTCACCGACGTGTCGGGACAACCTATGCCCAGTTGATCGCAGCCCTTGCAGCTGCATACAGACTTGGTAATCTGCATAACTGCCTAGGAATTACCAAATTACCATGTTAGCTGAATTACAAGAAAGCCTGTAGCTAATGCATCAACTTTCCATACAACTTGTACTACTATAAAACACCAAAAAATGGCTTTACATGCAATTCCTAAAGATTTTAAATTTGTTCTGGTAATAAAACTGAATTTAAGGTGTATTTTTGTAATTAACCTGAACCATCCATTTCCTCACAAATTTTCTTTATACGATTCACAGATTGCGAATCTTCCAACAACTGCTCGAGCATCACATTCCTCAGTAGCTTCCAAAGTAACTTGCTCTCAGATGGTCTGAAGAATCAGGTAGGGTGGGGCCACGTGTGGAACAGATTTTCAGGTCTACTGAGCTGTCATGGCCAGGGGAGCCAATGTGCTTTGACGCCTGTTCTTCCTCCTGCTTGGTGGGACGGGCTCTTGCAGTCGCCCATTCCACGTGACTCTCGTAGGATGGAAGCCTATGGAGTCAAACTTTCGGGTTTCGGGACAGTTGACTATGGTGCCCTGAAAAATTTTTGTCAGTTGAGAAAAAATTCTGTGGTTGGAATTCAGCTTATCTAAATCCTCAGGCGTGCCATCGATGAACGACAAGTGTCACAACCTTTTTTGATATGAGAATATGTACATCAGGGTGTGGAGCTGGATTTGGTGTTGTTTGTTGTACAACTGGTTTAATTCATTCATATCTGTAGTGTGTTCGATTGACGCTGTATTGTATCGGGACATTCGAGTTGTGTGGCGTGAAAAATTGATGATGCTACTAATAATTCTTTTGGAAGGAGATATTGGTGTGAGCTACAATGTGTACAAGGCCATCGGTGTTTCTGTTTTATGTTTTTATGTGGTTGTGAACTCAAACAACGTCTGTATTTTAAATTTTGCTAGAACATGTGAGGCAGCGCATGGGTTCAATTTTCAGGAAGGCCATCGAACCAAATGCCATTGGTTTGGTGAAGAAAATACTGAGCAATTTTCTTGTGCACGAATATAGGCAAAATATTTTAAGGTGAGTTGATTATCAATTGGTTTGCTTGTTGTGATACATTTTCCATTCTTTTTTTCTTCCGTTGTCGATGGATATAATCATTTCTTTTGTGCCGTCCATAATCATCTCTCCCACTGGTTGACATTGTTTGTGAGCTCGTTGTTTTATTTGGAAGTATCGTTGGGTCACCAAATCTATAATATTATTTGACCCAAAATCTGTAATATTATTCGATGCCTCCCAACAAAGTTGTTTTTTCTTCATCACAATGAAAGCACTGTTGGGTCTCTAAATAAAAACATTTTGATGTTTTGACGGAATATTTATAAAAAAGAATCGTATTCACAAGATTGAGCGCGATTTTATTGTATCAAATTTTTATAATTTTAATAGTTGTAAATCCAAAACGAAATCCCCCTCCCCTATATATCCCCCTCCCCTATATTATTATCATATTAATTCAGAACGCGCTGAGCCTATGTGGCTTCTTCTGGTGCTTCGGAAGCTTATGTAGCAAAATTACATGCTTCGTTATTAGGCTTGGGTAAATTTTAATTTAATTCCAAACAAAAAATAATTAGGTTCGGATTACCATAAATATGTTGATTATTTATGGTCATGTTACATGTATTAATTGTATTTTAATATCATTCCTATTATAACTTTTAAATTGTATATATATATTTTAAGAGTTAATAACTTTTGTATTTTTTATCAGTTTTACATATGCAATATATCAAATTAATCTTCTTTTGATGAGCTTTGATTTAACATCCATATTGTATGTATAAAAAAAATAATTTATATTTATCTTTATAACAATAATAAAATTATTGTTAATATTAATTAGAAAAATAAAATTATGCAATATATCAAATTAATCTTCTTTTGATGAGCTTTGATTTAACATCCATATTGTATGTATAAAAAAAATAATTTATATTTATCTTTATAATAATAATAAAATTATTGTTAATATTAATTAGAAAAATAAAATTATTTATCAACTAATATATTATATTTCAAGTAGTTATATGATATAAATTATAAAACTATTATAATATAGCGCATGTAAGTCATAAGTAACACATATTATTTTAACATATATAGTAATATATTTTTTTTAAAAAAAATGTAAACTAAATTTAATATAGTTTTCTCATTAATTTTAAAATTTAAGTATAATTTTTCAGGAAGCACTCGTATAATACACAGGTGTTGTACTAGTTCGAAAATTGAAATTCAAATAGTACTCCTAAAAACAGACAAAAAAAAAAAATTGAAATTAGCCCAATATTCCGACAGTTTGAAGGCAAAAATAAAATAAAATGTTAGAATTTATTGAGTCCGGTCCGTCCCTTAAAAGAGGAGAAGAGAAAAACCGGTCGACAACAAACTCCATGTGGGACCCAGCACACTCCATAAACCAGTGGGGCACCGCCACGTCACTTTGACCTCACTGTAAAGCGTGAAACTTCACATCGCATCTCAATGTTCCCTCAAGACGGAAAAGGGAAAAGCAAAACTCACACACATACGCAGAGGAAAAAAAAATCCTTCCCCACCCGTACACCGTCTCACGGCGTGTCAGCCGGAATATTCGTCTCTGTTCGTCAGCTGAGTCTCCCCGGAGAATTTCAGAAGAGCACACGCCTCAGGCGGCTGACCTTTTTTTATTTATTTTTATTGTTACTGTATGNNATATAGTTGATTTTTTTTTTTTCTTTCGGGAGAGGGTTTCTTGTAAAAGATTTCAGCTTGGGTGGGAGATTTCTGGGGTAACAAGAAAAATGTATGTGGTTCCTCCTCCAAGTCGATCCGATCCGTTATCGGGATCCGAAAAAGGGTCGTATGAGCTCCGAGTTTACCAGACATGGAAGGGTAGCAATGTGAGTTTTTAACTTTACTTCTTTTAATAACGGTTTTTCTAATGTTGATTTGAGTGATACTTTTTCCTTAGTGCTAAAGATTTTATCTTTTGTAAACTCGTTGTTTACCTTATTACGTTTGGACTGGGGGAAACTTGTTGCTAGGTTTTGTGAGCAGTTATTACACTTGGTCATTGTGCTCTTGCTTGGTGATTGGATTTTTGTTATGAAGAGCAAAGAGAAAAGAGATAATGGAATAAAGCTAGTTTTCTATTTTCTATTTTATCGTATTCATCATTGAAAGTTTTTTGGCTGGACTACAAGGAGTCGTGATATGTAAATTAAAAGGCAGTAAAATTTAACTGTACCATGAGTTGTTTAGTTGAAGTATACCATTCTTGTTTTGGGGTCGAAATCGTACTAGACCCAGATTGTAGTGTTGCTTAAGAATGTGCTGGGCAGTAGAGGTGGGTTTATTTGCTTTGCCCTTTAGCTCAATTTTTACTTCCTGAGCTCTATTGAAACCGGCATTTTTTTCACCATTGTTTTGAAAATCCTGCTCTGAAGCACAGATTTTGGAACATGCAGATTTATGTACTAGTTATCCATTCTTATATTTGATTCAGTATATTTAATTTTGACTGTTTACTTTTTTTCCTGTTCCAGAAATTTTTTCTTCAAGGAAGGTTTGTTTTTGGCCCAGATGTAAGGTCGCTGGCTCTCACCATATTCCTGATCGTGGTGCCGGTTGCTGTTTTTTGTGCCTTTGTTGCTAGAAAGCTAGTGGATGATTTTACCGATCACTGGGGAGTATCAATCATGATCATTGCCATTGTTTTCACACTTTATGTACGTTCTCTCAGTTCTCTCGAAGGAACTACATGACAAAATTATATAGTGGATGGCATGCTTGAGTTATTTATTTTGTCTTATTGTGTAGTCCAAAAGTGCTAGGTGCTTGCACTCAAGAAAATTGGAGTGGGTCTATTTGATAAGAAGACTATGATACCCTCTGTTGTCTTAATTTCATTCTGAGAATTGTGTATTATATTCTACATATCCAGAAACTGTACGCTGATACGAAGGAAAGATAGTACTATATTCACTCAAGTAGAGACTTGGGTGTACTTTAAATTTACTGGTTGCGCTCTGTCTAGAGAGGCTTATTAATATTTTGATATCCGAATGTCTCAATCAGTCTAAAATCTAAAGATGGATATTTATTTACTGTTTATGTGAAAGAACCGGTATTATAGAACACCTTATTCAAGCTACATACCTACACCCACTATCAACTTTGCCACTCCTCAATTTTGCAGCATTGGTTGTACATAGTCTTTGTGGTAGTTAGCTATTTTAGCTTTAATGGAACATGTACACCAGAAAGTCTGACCTTTATCTTCTAGGTTGATCTCTGATGTTCTAAACTAGTCGTTTTATTGCTTCAATATAACTTCATTCCTAGACGCTACATTTGTGGTTAAATATTAATAATGAACTAATCATCCATTGTGCATGAGTTTATTATTCACTTTCATTATTTAATTTCAGGATTTAATTCTTCTCTTGTTAACATCTGGAAGAGATCCTGGTATAATCCCAAGGAATGCACACCCTCCAGAACCTGAAGGCTATGACGGGAATGCGGAAGGCACTCAAACTCCACAATTACGCTTGCCTCGCATTAAAGAAGTTGAAGTTAATGGTGCCACAGTGAAAATTAAGTACTGTGATACATGTATGCTTTATCGGCCCCCTCGGTGCTCACATTGTTCTATATGCAATAACTGTGTTGAAAGGTTTGATCACCACTGCCCATGGGTTGGGCAATGCATAGGGCTGGTAAGACAATGAATGCATGCATCTGAAAAAGTGCATACTGGAAGTGCATTCTAGTTATTTTATGAGACTTTGACCTGATTTTCATGATTTTTTTTTTCTCAAGTTTTTCCGAAAGTGATAAATGCATGATTATATTGTGGTGAAATGAGAGATGCAAATGAAGTGACATACAATAAGCTAGACACTAGTGAAAACTGTCATGCTGATATTCTGTGACATTTGTTAAGGTTGCTATTTGTGTCAAAACTTAACAGCCATTTTACATGATCAACCTCTGACAGACGGCTCTGGCCTGCTCTAAGGTTTTGATCTTAAGGTTTTAGGAAGCGAGACCAGTAGGATTGGATATGGTTGTTTATTGTCTATTTATCTTATGCTAGAATATTTTTTGAATGGTAATAATGACGTGATTTCATGTTGCTTGGAAAACTAATTTGTGTTGAGTTGATGTGTTAAAAACTTGACTTATTTTTCATAGAGTTGCTTGGTGATGCTCTTCTAGTCATGAATATTTATTGCATATCACAAACTTATTGGGTTATTATTTATCTCTCTAATATTCCGGATAACTTGGCTTGGTTTGATTTGTATGGTGAACAAAAGATTTTGGGGTTTGAGCTACTTTTATTTTAAATAGTTAACAAAAAACTGGATAAAAATTTGGCATCTTGTTGTAGTATTTCGACTCTGTTTCGGATAAAAATGCTATTAAATGTATGTTTCTAAAAATTTGGTTTTGACCGTTAAAGTTAGAAGTCAAAACATTAAATTGCTATGATGGCAAGAGAAAAGATATCAGACGCCTTTTGGCTCTTTTCAAGTTCATAGCATTGAATAGGTTAAATATTCTGTTGACGAACATCATTGGAGGTTTTAGCATATGTGGATTTAGGTTGTGCTCATAGATCTTTTGCACTGCACCTGTGGTAAATGTAGTTATACTCTATATCTATCAGCATTCAGCTCTGTTGACATTGTCGTGGTTACTATTTCTTATATGCAGAGAAATTACCGATTCTTTTTTATGTTTGTCTTCTCGACAACTCTGCTATGCATATACGTTTTCGGTTTCTGCTGGGTCTACATTAGAAGGATCATGGTTACCGAGGAGATTTCAATATGGAGGGCAATGATCAGAACTCCTGCTTCCATTGTTCTGATTGTCTACACTTTCATTGCAGTTTGGTTTGTCGGTGGCCTAACAGCTTTCCATCTTTATCTGATCAGCACAAATCAGGTTAAGAACATTGCACTATTTTGTTAAATATTCCTATTAATCGTCGTTATCCACGTGTACAGCTTCAGTCCCAAACCAATTGCCGTTTTAGAAAGTTCTGCACAAATTAAGAAAAATTGCATTCTGCTCGATTCCCCACCTGAAAGAAATTCTTGATCCTTTTTCCTGTGCATGCGGCTATTATTTATTGCAGACGACCTACGAGAACTTCAGATATAGATACGACCGGCGTGCCAACCC